CCAGGCTGGCCTTGAACTCACAAAGATCCGCCTGCCTCTGCCTCCCAAGTGCTGGGATTAAAGGCATGCACCACCACTCCTGGCTCACTATACTCTTTTTTTTTAATTATTTGAGTGTTTTGCCTGCATGCATGTAAGTGTACCCATGTCATGCAGTGCCCACCAAGGCCAGAAGAAGGCATTGGATCCCCTAGAACTGGAGTTACTGATGATTGCTAGCCTCCATGCAGGTGCTGGCAACTGAACCTGGGTCAGTTCCAAAAAACCCATTACCCACTTCTGCCCTCCCTGGGCATTGCATTCATGTGGTATGCTCACATATTTATGCAGGCAAAATACTCATACACATAAATAAATAAAATTTTTAAAAAGTTGTTCAAATTACCTGGGCATGGTGGCACACGCCTTTAATCCCAGCACTTGGGAGGCAGAGGCAGGCAGATCTCTCTAAGTTCAAGGCCAGCCTGGTGTACATAGTGAGTTCCAGGACAGCTGGGCCTACAGGGAGATCCTGTCTCAAAAAGGCATAAAAAAAAAAAAGTTGATCAAGTTATACAGGAAATTCAAGTCCAGCAAGGACTATATGAAATCCTGTCTCAAAAAAAAAGTGCCACAGTGTTATCCATGTTAACACAATCCTAGAAAGCCATTTTCAGCTGTAGACTATGCTATCACAGGTCTTGCTTTCTAATACAAAGTCTATTATACAAACATAGCCAGAAGGAAAAACAAATAACAAGAAACAAAAGATAAAAGCACCTGCAAGATGGCTCAGTGGGTGAAAGCACTTGACACACATGCCTGATATCTGGGTTCGATCCCCAGATCCCATGGTAGAAGGAGAGAACTGACTCCCCAAAACTGTCCTCTGACCTGTACATGTGCACCATGGCCATCATGCATCCTCTCTCTCCCTGTCACTCTCTCTCCCTCTCTCTGTCTCTGTCTCTCTCTCACATACACACTGCACAAATTCATATATACCCACAAATAATTATTTTTTATTAAAATGTTGGGCATGGTAGCATACACCTTTAATCCCAGCACTAGGGAGACAGAGGCAGGTAGATCTAGCAGCCTGGTCTACATAATAAGCTTTAGGCCAGCTTGGGGCTACAGGGAGACTCTGTCTCAAAACAAGTAACAACAACAAAAAGTTTTAAAAGGCAAGGTAAGGATATGGCTCAATGGTAGAGTACATAATTAGCATGTTCAAGGTTCTGGGTTCAATCTCCAGCTCCACAAAACAAGCAGAAGAGCTAGAGAGATGGCTCCACAGTTAACAGCATTTGCTGCTCCTTCAGAGGACTTGGGTTCGGTTCCCAGCAATCGTCAGTAACTCCAGTTCCAGGAAATATGACACCCTCTCTGGCCTCTGCAGGCACCTGCGCTCACATGGTGCACATATATATACTCAGGCACACAAACATACACATAAATATTTTAAATGTATTTAAAGGTTAAAAAATGTGAGTATACTATTAGATAAACAGCATATTTAGATTTGTAGCAACTATTACAGATGATAAAGTCTTTTTTGCCCTCCATAAAAATCAATTATCAGAACGAATGATTGAGCCAGGCCCATAACCCCAAAACTCAGGAAGATGAGGCAGGATTGTAAGTTTGAGGCCAACTTGAGCTACATAGAGAATCCATGCCCCAAAAAACTTTTTAAAAAAAAGGCCAGGCATGGTAGCACATACCTGTAGTCCCAGCACTGGGGAGGCAGATTCAGGTGGATCTCTGTGAGTTCAAGACCAGCCTGGTCTACATAGTAAGTTCCAGGCCAGCTGGGGCTACAGGGAGACCCTGTTTCAAAAAAAATTTTTTTTAAGAATTATTGAAAATACATAATGAGGGGGGATGGAGAGAGAGAGCTTAGCAGTTAAGAGCAGGTACTGTTCTTGCAGAAGACCTGAGTTCATGCTGAAAAGTTCACAACTACTTGGATCCAAAACCCTCTTCTTGGACTCCCTGAGCACCTGCATTCACTTGCACATACACACAGACAAACACATATACACATAATTTAAAATAAAAAAAAGAAAATATATGGTTCAGCAGTTAAGAGCACTTGCTGCTCTTGCAGAGGACCCAAATTTGCTTCCCAGAACCCATGTGGCAGCTCAGAATCATCCTTAATTCCAGTTCCAGGAGGTCTAATACCCTCTTCTAACCTCCTTAGGCAGTGTGCTTACATACATGCATGCAAAACACTCATACACATAAAATAAAAATTAGAAAAAAAAATTACAGAAAATACATGTTTAAGGAAAAGCTAGGCCACAAGGACAAGAGAGAAATCCCAACAATTACTAAATTGTTACTTTCATCAGCCCACTGTAAAATAATTTAAAAATAAAAAATGAAGAATTTTTATATTAATGAATCCAAGAGACTTCAAAAAAGAGAAAATTATAGTAATAGGTTTAATTTAAAAACTATTGAACTTGTGTACTATTGTTTAATGAGGGCTTATTATTACCCAACCTCAATGTTCATCTGAAAAAGTGATAGAAATTCACACTCCGGAGACACATTTTAAGAATGAACAACTGACAAAAACATTGATTTGATTCTAAGAATTTTCTAGGACATACATGATTTGCATGCAGTTTCCTAATATTGTCTACTTTAATAGGCTCTCCCTCCAATGGCTGCCTTCACATGAGTTTATAATCTCACATGTGAGAGTATCACATGAGCATTCGATGAAATGGAAAACTAAATTTCCACTATTTTTCACTTTTATAAGGTTTCTACACAAGTGAGTCTTTTCATACATTTGTAAGGATGGATTCCCATAATGCATTACATCACTCTGCAGAACAAGTTTCATGGTTTCCAGATAAATTGAACACCTGAAGGCTTTTACACATTCTTTAAATGTATTTTTCTATTGACTTATTGTGACCTCATTGTGTGATCACTTACAGTCACAGGATTTCTGAGTCCCTTCTAGTGTTCACAACTAAAGAAGTGAAAATTTTTCCACATTTTAATTTTATTCACAGGGTTTCTCTAAGCAAGAGTCCTTTTCTACCTTCAAGGGGCAATGAGACAAGTGAAAGTTTTACTACATGATTTGCACTCAAAAGATTATTGTCCATTATGAGTTTTTCTATGTATCTGGAATAACACGAGCACTTGAATGCTTTACAACATTGTTGACATTTGTAGGGTTTCTCTCCAGTGTGGGTCCTTTCATGCATTCGAAAGGAACTAGCACAACTGAAGGCTTTCCCACACTGCTTACATTCATAGGGTTTCTCTCCAGTGTGAATTCGCTCATGAATTTGAAATGAACTGGGACAACCAAAGGCTTTCCCACATTCCTTACATTTATAAGATCCAATTCCAGTATGCATTATCATGTCTCTGTGAAAGCTTGGAAGAGAAATGAATGCTTTCCCACGTTCCTTACAATCATAAGGTTTTTCTCCAGTATGAATTCATTCATGTTTGCAAAAGGAACTGGAAAAACTGAAGGCTTTGCCACATTGTCTACATTTATATGGTTTTTCTCCAGTGTGACCCCTTTCATTGGCTTCGAAAGGATGTTGGACAATGGAGGGCTTTACCACACAGCTTATACTGATAAGGTTTCTCTCCGGTGTGAGTCCCTTCATGTATCTGAACAGTTTGGTAACATCTGAATGCTTTTCCACATTGTTTGCATTCATAGGGCTGTTCTCCAGAGGGAGTTCTTTCATGGTTTCGAAATGAACTGGGATGACTGAAAGTTTTCCCACATTCTTTACATTTGTAGGGTTTTTCTCCTGTGTGCATCCTCACATGTCCTCGATAGGTTGTGTGGTAAACGAGGGCTTTGCCACATTCCTTACATTGACAGGGTTTCTCTCCAATGTGCGCTCTTTCATGGATCTGAAAGGAGCTGAACCAACGAAAACCTTTCCCACACTGCTTACATTTATAAGGTTTCTCTCCAGTGTGAGGCCTTTCGTGTATTTGAAATGAACTTCGAAAGCTAAATGCTTTCCCACATTCCTGACATCCATATGACTTTTCTCCATATTTGTGACACTTAAATGGTTTGCATTCAGTATGAGATTTCACGTGCCTTTTAAGAGATGAATAACACATGTATACTTTTCCACATACACTGCATTCACAGGATTTTACTCCAGGAAGACTTTTCTTGTTCCACTTAAGAACTGGAACCTGACTGAACATTTCTGCACATTGACCTTCTTTCCTTTCACACAGTCTTTGCTCTAGATGACCTCTGAAAAATGAGAATCACATTACTAACGGCTTCTTTATTAATAATTTTATTCTTGATTGTAAAAGATATCATAATCATTAACAGATAGATTACACTTTTACTATTTTCAGGGAGCATATATGTAATGAATAATCTGAAAGGGTTTAGCTATAGCTATTATCAAAACAGTGATATTAGCCAGACGTGATAGCACATGCCTTTAATCCCAGCACTCAGGAGGCAGAAGCAGGTGGATCTGTGAGTTCAAGTCCAGCCTGGTCTAGTGAGCTCAAGGCCAGCCTGGTCTACATAGTGATCTCCAGGCCAGCTGGGGCTACAGGGAGACCCTGTCTCAAAAAGACAAAAAAATGATATTCATAATATGTAGTTTCTTTTTAACATAATATTTTTATTAATTTTATACATGGACACAATGTTTAACATATTCACCCTTCACCCCCCCCCAACTTCCCCAACTCCTGGTCTAATGTTCTCTAGAACTTCAATTGTGTGCTTTATACTTTCTGTAGGGCACAGGTGAAAGTGCAATGGGACTGTACAAGAATAATAGAAAAATGATAGAAAACTTCTTGGTGCCAGGGAGTAGGAAAGGTCCAACATCAGTGCCTAGCTGCCCAGGACCATGTGTGGAGTCAACACCTTAACTGGCCATCCAGGGAGATGGGAAGTCCATTCTTGAAAATAAGTCCTCCCAAGACTAAAAACTGCAAACCTCCCTATGCCCAGCACAAGTCTAACACAGAGGCAAAGTCACTGCCAAGCACAACTTGGGACCTTGGGGGAGGGAACTGTGAAGGACGTAGCCACGCAGAGAAGGTTGAAACTGCTACTGCTATCTTCCAATCTGCTTCACCATCAGCCCACCACCAGAGGAATTTGGAACCATGGCTCATGGTTGGGGACCACAGCTCCAGCTCACAGGAGAGGAACCGCAGCTCCACATCAAAGTATAGGACTACAACTCAGGTTCACAGGAGGGGATCACAGTTCCAGGTTCACATGACCAAAGCTCTAGCTCATATGAGGGGACCGCAGCTCCAGGTTCACAGTAGAGAATCACAACTCCAGCTCACAGGAGAGGACCATAGCTCCAGTTCACAGGAGGGGAGTAAAACTCCTTCACAGGAGGGGATCACAACTCTGGCTCACAGAAGGGACCCATAACTCTGGCTCATGGGAGGGGACAAAAGCTCCAGGTTCACAGGGGGGAACCACATCTCTAACTCATAGGAGGGAATCACAACTATGGCTCATGAGAGGGGACCACACAGCTCCAGTTTACAGGAGAAAACCTCACAGGAGGGGACCATAGATCCAGGGTCATAGGAGGGGAATGCATGGTTTCTCAACACTGATTCTAATGAGTTATACTTTAAATACTGAAATAGCTATGTCATTTTTAAAAGTTCTTAGCACCTTTAATTCCAGCATGTAGGAGGCAGAGGCAGGTGGATCTCTGTGAAATCGAGGCCAGCCTGGTCTACATAGTAAGTTCCCGGACCACTGGGGTTACAGGGAAACCCTGTCTCAAAAAGATCAAAAGAAAAAAAAAAGTTCTTAGGCTGGACATGGTGAAACAGGCATTTAATCTCAACACTTGGGAAGCAAAGGCAGGCAGATTCCTGTGAGTTCAAGGCTAGCTTGGTCTAAATAATGAGTCCTAGTACAATCAGGGCTACAAAGTTAGACCCTGCTCAAAACAAAGAAAATAAGTTCTTGGTGAAGGTGTTGGAGAGATAGTTGAGGAGATGGCTCATGCTGCTCTTCCAAAGTATCTGAGTTAGTTCCAAGCACTCACATCAGACAGCTTACAACTACCCATAACTCCAGCTCCACAGTATCCAAAGTCCTCTGGCCTCTGCAGGTACCTGCATTCACATGTACATACTCATACATAATAAAAAAAAATAAACCGCCAGGCATGGTGTAGCACGCCTTTAATCCCAGCACTCGGGAAGCAGAGGCTGGCGGATCTTTGTGAGTTCAAGGCCAGCCTGGTCTACATAGTGAGTTCCAGGACAGCTGGGGCTGCAGGGAGACCCTGTCTCAAAAAGACCAAAAATTAAATTAATTAATTAATTAATTAATTAAACAAACCTTTTTTTAAAAAAGTCTGGGGCTGAAGAGATGGCTTAGCGGTTAAAAGCACTGACTGTTCTTGAAGAGACCTGGGTTTGAGTCTCAACACTCACATGGCAGCTAACAACGATCCATAACTTGGTTCCAGGGGATCCGATACCATCTTCTGACCTCTATGAGGGCACTGCACAACACAGGTGCATTAACACACATGCAGACAATACACTCATACACATAAAATAATAAATTATCTTTTTTTTAAGTTTTTAAGGGGCTGGAAAGATGGCTCAGAGGTTAAGAACATTGGCTATTCTTGCAGAAGACCTAGATTTGAATTCCAGTACCCACATGGCAGCTAACAACTGTAACTCCATTCCAGAGGATCCGACAGCCTCTTCTGCCCTCCTCGAGCACTTCACAACACGAATGCACTTACCTACATGCAGGCATAACACTCATACACATAAAAAAATAATAAATAAAATATATATTTTTAAGTTTTTAAAAATAAATAAATGCTGGGTATGGTGGTGCACGCCTTTAATCCCAGTACTCAGAAGGCAGAGCCAGGTGGATCTCTGAGTTCAAGACCAGCCTGGTCTACATAGTGAATTCCAGGCCAGCTGGGGCTACAGGGAGACCCGGTCTCAAAAAGACAAAAAAAAAACAAATAAACAAACAAACAAATAAAGTCATCAACTTGGGAGCCGAAGAGATGGCTTAGCATTTAAAAGTGCTTGCTGTTTTTCCAGAGGACATGAGTTTGGGTCCCAGCACATTGTGTGGGTCCAGGGAATCTTATGCCTTCTTCTGATCTCCATAGGCAACATACACACATACACAGACACACATAACATCACACTAAATATTTAAATTTTTATTTATTTATTTAAATTTATGTATATGTGGGTATGCCTGCTTGTCTGTATGTGCAGTTCCTGCAGAGGCCAGAATAGAGTATCAGAACAGGAGTTACAGGCAGTTATGAGCTGCCCAATGTCAATGCTGGGAACCACATCCAGGTCCTCTACAAGAGCAGCAGGTGCAACTGCGAAGCAATCTCTCCAGCTCTCCAAATAAAGATTTTTAAAAATTTTTTTAATGTCTTGGTGAAATTTTTATGATAATAAATATGAATTTGTGTTTTTGTTTTTCATTCCATACATTCTATCATAAGGCCCTACTTTCTTTTGTGAGTACAACTTACCTTATATTCCTTCTCTGGGTTTTATGCTGATCATCAATGTTCTGGTTTTCCCATTTTTCCCCTAAAATGAATACCCAGAAAAACCATTTCAAATTACAGAAAAAGTATTAGCAACCAGGTCCATGATGAACTGAATGCCCTGTGACGTGCTCACTCACCAAAATATTCCTTTTTCATGTGCTGAATCTTGGAAGCTCACTGATAGGCAAGAAATATTTGTTCTCTAGTTAACTAGGTGCAGGAATACCTTTATTCTTACCTACAGAAGCCAAGATAGTGAAGGTTTCCTGCATCACATCTCTGTACAGCTTCTTCTGGGAAGGATCCAGCAGAGCCCACTCATCCTGGCTGAAGTTCACAGCCGCATCCTCAAAGACCACTGAGTCCTAAGGCATCCAATGTATTTATAAAGAAGAATAGCAAAACTGGCAACATGCAGTTCATGAAGTTCACATGACTCTGTGGTCTCCTGTTCATACTCATTTGATCATAAATTTAACACCAAGAATACATGGAAGGCATTTCTAGATCATCTTCATCATCATTTGTTTTTTGAGACAGGGTCTCCCTGTGTAACTTTGGCTGGCCTGGAACTCACTATATAGATCAGGCTGGCCTCGAACTCACAAGAGCTCACCACCATACCCAGATATTTCTACGTTATTACTATGAATATGTCAAGTATTTAAGGTAAGGAGGTTGAGACACGGTCTACTTGTAGCCCCAGCTGGCCTGAAACTCACTTATATAAACCAGGCCGGCCTTGATCTCACAGAGATCCACCTGTCTCTGCCTCCCCAGTGCTGGGACTAAAGGTGTGAGCCACCACACCCAGCTGCATTCTAAATCTTACTGCTCTCAAATAACAGGATGGATGCACAGCATCTTGGAGAAATTCTATATAAATTAAACAAATATTTCCATTTTAAGACCAGCAACTTCTTGTGAGGAAAACTTTCATCTTCTGCTTTATTATATACCATATCACAAACCATTCCATAAAATAGTCAAATCTGTATAACAGTCTAATGCACACACACACAAGGACTGTATACTTTTTCTTTTGTTCTTACAATAAACACACATGAAAACAGGAGGCTTGTGGAAGCCCAACTGGTAACAACATCCAACTGGCTAAGACATTAAACAGAATCGAAGCAACTAGTTAAATGAAAATATTATTTTAGAGAAGTATTCATTTAACTCATCTACGTGATATGCACCACAGATTCAACTGCTTCTTTTCCTCCTGTCCCATTTGATGTACCTAGGAGGTTATGTGAAAGTAAGAACACAAGTCCAAATACCACCAGAGATCCTTGTACTCATGAGTCTTGGGGCAGCTTTTAGGAAATATAAGACAGATAATATGATACTATAGCAGCTATTCCTCCAAGAAACCCAACAACATACCTCAAGTAAGGCTGATTTTCAAGAGTAGGTTATGAGTTACAATTTTCCCAGATACACTGCCAATTAAGAACACTGGCTGCTCTTGTAGATCAAGTTCCCAGCACCCGCATACAGGTTAAAAACCATCTGCAACTCCAGTTCTAAGGGATCCAATGCTCTCTTTTGGTCTCTATGGGTTTACATGCACATGGTGCACTTACAAGTGATCCTTGGGTTGAAAATTCAAAAATTGTAAGCCAAACTTTTCTTACATTGAGTTGCTTATACCAGGTATTTTACCATAGCGATGAAAAACTGGCACAGTGCATCTTCCCGTGCTTCCAAAATATACAAAAAGTTAAACAGTACTGTCCTCAGAAACACCATGAAATGTCCCTTCTTCATTCTTAGAACCAAATGGTTCCCGACTAGCCACTTTAGGGACTGATCTCCTGGGCCTCTCAATTTGAGGTCCCATGAGATACCCATGAGCACCCAAAGGAACACTGGAAACCCTCTGCTGCTTCATCCCTCCAAACACCAATGTATGAAACAGATCTTTAACCTACTGATGTCCATGTGCAGGAGACAGAGGACAATGCTTCCTAACAGCGGTTCTGACAGGAGTTTTTTGTTTTTTAAATATTTTATTATTTTATGTGTATGACTGTATTGCCTACATGTGTTTACACACAGTGCACCAGTGTCGTGTATTGCCTGTGGAGGTCAAAAGAGAGTGTTGGATCCCCTGGAACTGGAGGTACAGAGAGTTGTTAGCCACCATGTGGGTACTGGGAATTGAACACAGGTCTGTTAGGGTTCGAGAATCGAGAATAATTTCCCACAGATACCCAAAAAGATTATGCAAAAGTTTATTTAAGAATTTAAAGAGGAAAAAAAAAAGACAATAACAAAACGGCAGCTAGCCAGGCACAGACTTCACAAGCCAAATATGGAGTCTGGCCCCAAACAATAGCAGGCAGGAGCTTTTATTGGGCACTGCATAGAAACCCGCACGCACCAAGCATTTTTTAAAATAATTGGATGTCCCCATATCCTGTGTATGGGGAAAGTCTTGATTGGTACGGGCTGTCTTCAGGGCATTGGGATATGCTGACTAATATCTTCTAGCGTCAGAAGTTTTTGTCCATACCTTATAAGGCTTTTACATGTACAATATGCCTGAGCTTGTCTGGGCTTGTCTAAAGAAGCTAGCCAAAATGGAGTCAGAGCATTCTGGCTCTTCATTCCCTCCTAGAGTTATGGCAAGGGTTAAATCTTTAAGCCGAGCAAATTACAGAAACAGAAAGAAGTGGTTAGACGGCACATTTAGGGCAGTGGAACCATTTCTATATTGTCGTAAGGCTCGGGGTCTTGATTTAAATGAGTATACTGTGAACGCACTACCATCAGTTGGACTGTCTGTACCTGTTCTCGGATGAATTTGAGGAAGGCATTAAGAATACAGGGGCCACAGGTGACTGCTAATAGGAGTAAGAGGAGAGGTCCAACTATTGCTGAGATCAAAGTTGTTAACCATGGGGACCAGTCAAATAGGGATTCGTAGCAATTTTGTTGATTTAGTCATTTGTTTTCTCTTTCCTTAAGTCTTTTATGGACCTCAGCCAAAGACTGTTTTATAACTCCCAAGTGATTAACATAGAAACAGCACTGTTCCCCTAGGGCAACACAGAGTCCTCCTTTTTCTAGAAAAAGTAAATCCAGCCCTCTCCTATTTTGTAAGGTTACCTCAGCTAAAGAGGATAGAGAGTCTTCGAGGTGGCAGATAGATGTTTCTAATGATTGTATGTCTAAGTCTATGGCCTGTCTAAGAAGGTGATAATTTTTATCCTGGAGGACTAGCGCTGAAGCTCCCAGACCAGTTGCAGTGGTTACCCCGCCCCCAAGTAGAGTAGACAACTTAAGTGGTTCCTATGGCCCTACGAGGTCTAGACTCTTCTGAGACTCTGGTTTCCATTTCTGTGTCTGTTCTATAATACAGAAGGGGAACCAGCTGCACTAGTACACAAAAATCCCCGGTCCGGTTTAAAATGGATGAGTGGAGGCATGTAGTTAAGCCAGAGGTACAGGCCCACCAAGTGGAGTTGGGGGGCACCATATATGGGTTAGGTGCAGTAGCCCCTATGTCTTGAACAGAGTTATATAGATGTTGGTAAGGAGGGGGGACAATTTTATGTGAGGGAGTCACGCATAGCCCTTTTCCATATGCTTGGGTGAGGGTAAGTCCCCTTCTCCCTGTAGGCAGGAGAATTCTACAGGCAGTGGAGTCAGAAGTGACAACATAATTTCCTGGGAGAGCTAACCCATCATAAAAGGGAGGGCTTGGGTCCATGCAAAACAAGCAATGGATAGTAAGGTTAGGGGAGGTATTATTTAAAGCAATAAAGGTGGCATTTAGGAGATTTGTAAGCCCAGGGGATGGCTGCAAGGGCTCTTGGACTCATCAGATCTCTGGGGGTGTGAATCTAGGTGTGGGCAAAGTAGCAGTTTTATCCAGTCGGACAATTTGGCTAGGAGCTGGCCTCTTGACAGATTTAAAAATAGTTAAGGCTGGTGTTGGTCATCCTCTAGGCTGTAACACTGTCCGAGCTGGCCCCATCTGGGTCCCCACGACTGGACCCACCTGAAGACGGACTGAAAAAAGTATTCCTGGATCAGTCCCTGTGGTGTATAACCTGAGGCCCCAAGTTCACCCATCAATCCAGTTTTGTAGGTTTTTAAGTTCCTTTCCTTTCAGGGTGAAGCTTAAGGAGATAGGGTTGCATCTAGAGGAGGAACAGGGTCGCTTGAATTGCCTTGATCTGGGGTTTCACCAAAGAGTTAGGCCTGGGACCACAGTTACCTGGATCAAGTTGGTAGTGATGGAGGCAGCCCAATTAATATATCCAGTAGACACACAGCTCCATGAAGCACAGAAATAGTCCCCTGGCCCCCCACAAGTACCCCTTCGGTCACCATTGTCGCCCAGGCAAACATAGAAGCGGTGCTCCTTCATCCTCTTTCAGCCGAGGGGAGACTGGCAAGCATAATTCACAGTGCCTGATGGGGTGTACGATTCCCAAGCTCCTTCAAGCAGGTCACAGAGGTCAAATGTAATCTTGGGGAACCAGGCACCTGGAGGTCCCAGATGGGAGGAAATGTTCACTATCTTTCCAGTGGATGTGCTACTAACTACCCAGGTGAGGTTTTAGAATCCATGAGGGGAGTTAGCTAGAGCAGGCTCTATAAAAAGAAATAAAAAAGCAACAAGGGTTATGGTGTGGCAGAAATTTTTAGCTTGAGAGGATTGTCTTTTACCCATGTGACCTTCCATCTCTTGTTGACTTGGTCTGACCAATCTTCTGATGCAGGCTTTAAGTGCAAGTGATGTATCCAGGTCCGGACACCTTAACCGCACACAGTAGGGGTGGTGAGGATCACGATGTGTGGCCCCTCCCATCGAGATCTGAGGGGCTCCTTGTGGTGCCATCTCACCCAAACAAGGTCTCCTGGCTTGAATCCGTGTGGTTGGGCTGGTGGAAGTTCGTAGATGTGCCACAGCAAGGGGAAAATGTCTTGTGCAATCTGTAAGGCCTATAGGGACTTAAGAAATTGGGATTCAGACAAGTCAATTAGCACATCTGAAGGCAGCTTGGGAAGCAAAGGGGGTGGTCAGCCATACATGACTTCATAAGGTGTTAGGCCTTGAGTATATGGGGTATTTCTGACCCTGTATAGGGCAAAAGGTAGGAGGTCCAGTCACCACCAGTTTCCAGGGTTAATTTGGTAAAGGGCTCTTTAAGGGTCCAATTCATTCTCTCTACTTGCCCTGAGCTCTGGGGGTGGTATGCGTAATGTAGCTTCCAATTAGTCCCCAGTGTTTTAATTAACTCTTGAGTTACCTTAGAGATGAAGGCTGGTCCATTGTCCCAATCATAGAGGGGAGTCCATACTTTGGTATTAGTTCATCGATGATCTTTTTAACCATCATTGA